ACTTAATGTTATTAAAGGTAAAAAAACAAAACTAAAATTTATTAGATAATTATTAATTAAAAAATGACAAACAAATTAAAAAATTAAAAAGGATAAATTTGTCAATAAAATTAAAAAATTCTAATCCGCTAGCAGTTTGGTACAAAAAGCTATATAAACTAACTTTTTCAATTCGCTAACGATTTGGACCATAACCGCTATCCGCTAGTTTCAAACTGCTAAATAAAAATTTTACCAAACACTTTAGTTGTAGCGATTTCGAAATATATAAATTTACCAAACACTTATATTTAGCGGTTTAGGTAAAACTGCTAACCGTTACCCCAAAACCACTATACCAAACGGGCCTTTAGTTCCCTACCCCCAAGTTTCCCCAGTTCAAAAAAAAAAAAAAAAATCCCTATACTTAAAAGATATTATTTAAAATTTTAAATTAAACAAAATTATTTTAATTTAAAACATTAGGATTTAAATTTTTTAGGGCTTAATGATTGTAATGTTAATGTTTAATATTTACTGTGTTGGCATTTATATTATGTTTTAGGATTTAAGATCTAAGGTGTTAGGATTTAAATTTTTTATGATTTAAGATTTAGAATGTTAGGATTTAGATTTTTTTGAGGAAAATGATTAGTATATATTCAGTGTAATATATTTTTTGATTTGTCTTGATTTAGTTATTGAAATATGATATAAATATAGTAGATTTAATCGGTTCTTACATTATATATACATAATTGCATCCTTAAATCTATATTTTTCTAATTTTAGATTAAAATAATAATTTTTTAATTAATGTGTTGTGTAATGTGTTGAACCGAAATATATACTAATTACTATCCTTTTTTAATTCAATGTTTAGAATGTTAAGGTTTAAATTTTTTAAGATTTAATATTTTAAAGCATTAGAATTTATAATATTTTGATTTAAATGTTTAAAGTGTTAGTGTGTAGATTTTTTATAGTGAATGGTTATAGTTGGAGTGTTTAGAATTTTTTTCTCTTCCCATTCTCTCCTCTCCATTCCCCTCAACCCAAACAATTAGTAAGATTTCTCTTTTATGTTGCTTTTCTTACAAGTTGGTCCACTTCCTACTCCTTAATCACTGGAAGGAGCAAAGGAATTCCCTTTTCATTTTTCTACAATTAACGATGACCTTATTTGGGGATTGATTTTTTAACTTGATCTGTACTGAACCAAGGAGATATATATATATATAAATGGCCATTGGACTCAATCGATCATTTTTTCCACACTTGACTGATGACTTTGTTTTGGGATTGATTTTTTAACTCGCTGTGCACTACACTACATATATACATGCATATATATATGAATCATGTTTTATAATTTGAATTGTATTAAATTATAAAATATGAATCATTAAATGTAAGAATAGTTCTAATATCAAGAGACTCACTTTTTATTTAATGATTGATATAACATAGTCTTATTTGCTATAATGTGAACTACGCTATATATTTTTGTGTATATATATTGGTTTCCCTAGAATTGCTTTCTAAGCAGCTTCATCGGAGTCAATTGATCATTTTCCACAATTAACGATGACCTTGTTTTGGGGTTGATATTTTTTGCTTTCTAAGTGGATTCACT